TCCAGCCAAAACCCCAAAACCCCAAAACCCCAAAACCCCTGAGTATGCCTTAGAAATTGAAATTTAATAATCTCCTATAATTTCTTGAGCTGATGTAACATAGACAGACACTTATGAATATTAGTAACTGACATCTTTTCCCAGTGATGATAAGGATTATATAAAAATCAGGACAGGATAGTACTTCCATCGAAACAAACATCAGCAAGAGGAGTTTAACATATTTCATTTAGATTGCTTATGTTAATTTTATTAGCAAAGCTTGAACTCATGGGCTATATAAACCTTAATCAGATATAAATAGACATATTGGGAAGTAAATTTATCACTGAGATTTTATTTTTGATTCTCTAATCGGAAGAAACCCAAGAGCTATAATCGTTCTATTTGATTGCATTGTTGCAGTTATAGCTAAGATCTCTAGAATATCAATGAATCAGACAAGCCTTAAGATTAGAAATCCCTTAGCTGCTTGTATGAATATTATTTATTCCGTAACGGCCCAATGGAGTATCTATTTTTTAATAAACTGCATCCTATGCATAATAACACATATAAGCTGCAATAGAACTTAGGAATAAACTCAGTTGTTATGCACAATGTGTCTGTCTAAATCATTCAGCATTATTGGAAGGAGCCATTCCGGAATTAACTTTCTGCAGGACTTAGGAAACCTGAATAATCTTAATAGAAGTCGGCAATATTTGTTAAGAAGTCAGGAATAAATCTAGAACGAAGTTCAACCAGTCTAGGAGCATCTAAAGATGTCTCAGATTCTTAGTTATTTCTAATCGGCAAACCTTCAAATGTTCTTTTTGGATTTCAAATTTTAGGTTTTTACGATTTTAAGCAGAAATTTTGCAGGAGAATTTTAATAGTGCTGAGAAGAAGCAGCTTAAACTTTAGTATTCAGGTATTAACCAGATATAAGTTTTAGGCCGTAGGATCCATGATTATCAATGCTGAAACCTTTGGGAACCTTAGAGCTGAACTCTCTGCTAACTTGGCCTTCAGTTCAGATTCTATCGACATTAGATTTAAATGAGTACTTACTTTTCCTTACTGGACCTAAGTGCTTCTAACTTCTGGTTCAAGATGTACGAAGACTTGCATAGGCCAGGGGCTGATTTTAAGTCAGTGATCTTAGTATGAAGGAATTCGAACTTGTCGGCTATGTACCCAAATACATTTTTCATGTTCTCTTGAGTTGGGATATCTTCCTCAGATACTAAAGTGTTGGATGAATAAGCTTTGGCTTTATTCTTAGGCCTCCTGATCTTTCTCTTCTTCTCAGAAGTATGAATAAGAGCATGATGGACTAACCTTTGCAAATTAGGAGATAATGATTTGATTTTTTTCTGAAGGATATCCAGAGGAGTATTTCTCATCTTCCTAGTTATCCTAAACTCACCCGGATTCTTATTAACATCACGAGAAGTAAAGTTTAGGTTTTGGATTCTTACAGGGACTGGGGAATAAATTCTTGGCTGATGAGTATCTTGATCCTTCCCAACAAGTGCTCTCGGATGGTTTTTAGAAAGCTTAGTCTTTGATCTGACAGAAACCGGTGAGGGGCTTATAGTAAAAACCTTCTTCTATTGGAATATTATTATCACATATTATGGGTTTACAAAATATTACAACTTTTATAAAAATTCATACTTTGTTGACAAATTTTGGAGGTTTGGCTCCTTCAGACATAAATTTGTAGCTGGTCTGCGTAGCATTTTGATTCTTCGCTTGCCAGATCTCTTTGTTTTATTCTGAATTCAAATTAGAGTTTTAAGTTAAAAAGGGCATTTTATGTTAAGTCAATGAATCAAAGCTATTAAAGACGCACATGTCTTTGTAAAGTTTAAGAAACAGAGGGTTTCAGATAAAATGAAGCGTTATAGTGCGATTTGTAGAGATATATTTCAGATTTAAAAGGATTCTTGCTTTTTATTGAGATAAATCAATATCTCTCCAGATTAAAACTACGCTGGAAGCTTTATGTGTTATTCTTTGGGCAAAAGATAAATAATTCTAAGAGTTCGTCTTATATGCTAAAAACACTTCCTTTAAAGCCCAAAAATTATTGATTATATCTTTGGAACCAAGGTGATCTTACCACTTGAATCTGAGTTTGTTGGGCATGCTTTTCTAAGAACTTCTTCAGCTCAATACCTCTCGTAGACATCCACATTTTTCAATTATCCATAATAATTTTGGGGTTTTGGGGTTTTGGGGTTTTGGGGTTTTGGGG